GTTGTCAGCAGCAAAACTGGTTGATCCACTCTGAGACGGTGCTATTTAAGAGACTGAGCTGAATACAGCACCTCAGACTGAAGAAGTCTCTCGGATGAGAGACGAAACGTTTCTACATTTTTTTGTTGATTTGCTTTGTTTTGGGTTTTTTTGAATGTCCAGAGGACCAGATTTAACTTTTTTAGATTTTTCTACCTGGATTATTGAGCATGCATCAGGAGATGTTGCAGTGACAGTTTATCACAGTTCAGCTCAATTTGTTTAAAACTTGTTTTAAAACCAGCTCAGTCCCTTTTCCAGGGTTTCCATAGTGTTCCACATATCTTCTGTGCTTTTCAAAATAAAAGGATGTAGAGGTTTTTTAGGAAAGTACAGATCTATCTTCACAGTGCCACTTGTGGAAGAACTCCCAGCTGAAGAATCTTATTTATTTATATACAGTAGTAAATCGGGTGCTTTGTTTTATCAGGCTGGACTGAAGAACCGTCAGCTGGACATGGTGGATTTTTATTTGAAGAGTAAAGAGAACGTTCTGGATGTGTCCAGAGCTGCTGATCAACCTGCAGAGTCTGAACTAAGCCTGACAGAAGGTACATCTCCACTTCTCATCATTTTGATATGAATGTGATGCTTTTATGTTACCAAAACAAAACAAGTCCAAAAACCTGCATGTTCCACTGCTTTCAGGACCAGCACTCCCTTACAAACAGATCTGTGGATCTTTGCCTGGTTAAGTCAGAGTCAGAGTCAGAGTTTCTTTATTGTCATTCGCACCTCATGTGGTACATGTGGTGGAGCGAAATTATGTACACAGGGTCCCAGTTACATCCAACAATAAAATGCATAAGAAAAACAGTAATAACATCTAAGATATGAACTAAGAAAAACATCAACTAAATATACACTAAGCACTCATAACATAAAACATTGAACATCAGCACAAACATGAACATGAGTCTGTGAGCAGATGTGCACGCATGAACACATCAACATTGAAACAGATCAGCAGCAACATGAAACAGATCATCAGCAACATGATATGGTTTTACACAGTGATTATTCTAGTTCATGAGTCTAACAGCCTCAGGGTAGAAGCTGTTCCTCAGTCTAGT